AATGCATCTGGTTGTTGAAACCACATATGCAAATTTTACTCCTCCCAAAACGTTAAAATAATAAACGTGTGAGCGTGTTATAGGCTATATGACATTAGTCAGACTGCGCTAATGCAACACGCATCGCTGCGGACGAGTAGCTGAGTATCTCTTTAGCAAGCCGATGCGCAAACTGCGGCGAATTAAACAAAGTAATACGCAGATGGTCAACACACAATCATCGTCATTTAAAGTAGTAAGACAAACTTATCTCTCCAGTGCTGATGCCGCGCGCTCTCCTATTGCGGTCTTTGATCTTGAAATGAGCTGATAATTAATAAAATGCAGCGCTTATCTTTTGATTTCGTTGACGTGAACTCCGTTAAATTTAAATATAGCGCGGGAATTGAAGATCGGATTTATATCCGTTTTGCGACGACACATTTATGCGGCCAAGTGTAAATGGAAACGTTTTAACAAATCAGATCAGCGAAAACGCATGAAATGACCAGGTGTAAACAGGCCCCAAGTCATTAGATCTGTTTCACCAAATATAACAGGTGTAGTTTTCTAAATATCTGTTTTTCAACAGAACGGGATTGTTCATCGTGACCTGAAATTGGAGAACATCTTGCTGGACGACAACTGCAATATAAAAGTACGTTCGGGACAGAATTAATTTTTAATTCGTGAAGGTTTTACAACTAGTTCATGGGACCTCATTTAAGAATCAGCAGCAGAATAAATGTTTGTTTTATTATTTAATTGATGTTGTAAACCAGGAGTGTCCAATCCTGCTCCTAAAGGAGCGACGTTCTGCAGAGTTTAGATCCAACCAGCCCCAAACACACTTGCCTGCATGCTTCTAGTAATCCTGAAGACCAGTGGTTCCCAATCCTGGTCCTGGAGAGCCACCAAACACACCTGATCCAGGATTGAAGACCTTGATTAGCTTTGAGTTTCATTAGGAATGGAGATAAACTCTGCAGGACAGTGCCCTCCAGGATCAGGATCAGACAACCCTATTGTAAGCCGTTTTCTCTTTCAGAGTCTGTTTGAAACGTTATCTCTGATACTTCTGTTTTACCTGGCGTTATTACAAAAGAGGCTGTAAAACAAACACCCAATCGAAACTTGCGTGAGATAACGGAACAAATCTACTTACAGCTATAAAACTTGCACAGCGAAAGGACAACGGCCGCTAGATGAGAAGCACTGATGGAAACTGTTTTTGGAATCTGTTTTTCAGATCGCTGACTTCGGGTTGTCGAACCTGTACCAGGGTGATAAATTCCTGCAGACGTACTGCGGCAGCCCTCTGTACGCTTCGCCCGAGATTGTGAACGGCAGGCCGTACAGAGGACCGGAGGTGGACAGCTGGTCTCTGGGCGTCTTGCTGTACACTCTGGTTCATGGAGCCATGCCTTTCGATGGACAAGACCACAAGAACTTGGTCCAGCAGATCAGCACCGGAAACTACCGCAAACCCACCAAACCTTCTGGTGAGGCTCTTAAAAGATTCAACCGAGACCTCCTTTGTGTACCGTTTGCCCTATATTTAAACCGAGACATGAAACTAGTTTCCTGTGTTTGTCGAAGGTCCAGACTTGGCTCTTTCAACCATACCATGTAGCAGTTTTATAGCTGGAGCTTATCTATTCCTACAAGATAACATTCTGAATTGCGTGGTTTCAGTCTGTTGACCATGGCAGTCTCATAAATTTGAGTTCCCCTGGGACTGTCAAGTTCACACCGGCAGCAACTTTATTGCCAGAGGTTGGCTGGTCACCATGCTTGTTGGGTGTAGTGGCTTGATGAGGTCCAATTCCTCACATGGTTCTTAATGCATAATTTTTAGCTATGTTTCTACATAGGGCTGAGTAAACTGCCCAGAGCAACATGAACTATTCTTGCGAAGAAGTGTTCCTGGAGGGACACCAACAGTACACATTTTGGATGTCTCCTTTACCCATTTCAGGTCTTGGAGTCTCTACTAACAAGTTGATGAGTTGAATCGGGTGTGTTTGATTGGTTAAAGATATGACCGTTTTGTGTAGGGCTGTCAAAATGGCTGAAAAACTAAATTCGAATTTTGTACTTAAATAATATTAAAATTCGAATTCTATTCGAATTTAAAATGCATAATTTCAGTAACGGTGAAGAATAGCTTTTGGCTTCTCTCCTGAGGCCACAAGAGGGCGCATTGAGCAAAATATTACTAATGCACGTTTATTCAAAGCATAAGATAACGACTATCTGTGAAAAGAAGTGCATAATGTTTAAAATAATGTTTATAAACCAATTATAATTAATGAAGTTGCTTAAACAACTATAAACAAAACAGCATCATGTATGTATGCATACATGAACTTAATACAAAGGGCGGAAAGCCAGTCACACAGAGTACATTTTTCATTTAAAAACATGATCCAGTAGGATGGGAAAAAAACCCACCATAAAGTCTCGATATATGTTTTTTTCAAAGTTAAACTTGCATTAATTTTACATGGCTTTCTAAACATGCGGCTCTTTTGTGCGAGATCCGAGTGCAACGGTGATAGATGTCCCTCTAGAAAATGTGATAAATATGTGTTCTGTGTGAATGGCTTGGTTTCAGTTTTGATGTAAACAAGATCTTCTCCGCATTGATGTTCTCTTTTCCCGCAATATTTTTAATGAACAATGCAGCAGCGCCGCATCTAGTGGGTTCAACTGGATACGTTAGGCTAACAAAAACATTAAAATGCAATGACACTTACATTGTCATCGCATCTCGTGCGCCGCTGATAAGGCTGCCTCCTTAACGCGTCACCATGCTTGTTGGGTGTAGTGGCTTGATGAGGTCCAATTCCTCACATGGTTCTTAATGCATAATTTTTAGCTATGTTTCTACATAGGGCTGAGTAAACTGCCCAGAGCAACATGAACTATTCTTGCGAAGAAGTGTTCCTGGAGGGACACCAACAGTACACATTTTGGATGTCTCCTTTACCCATTTCAGGTCTTGGAGTCTCTACTAACAAGTTGATGAGTTGAATCGGGTGTGTTTGATTGGTTAAAGATATGACCGTTTTGTGTAGGGCTGTCAAAATGGCTGAAAAACTAAATTCGAATTTTGTACTTAAATAATATTAAAATTCGAATTCTATTCGAATTTAAAATGCATAATTTCAGTAACGGTGAAGAATAGCTTTTGGCTTCTCTCCTGAGGCCACAAGAGGGCGCATTGAGCAAAATATTACTAATGCACGTTTATTCAAAGCATAAGATAACGACTATCTGTGAAAAGAAGTGCATAATGTTTAAAATAATGTTTATAAACCAATTATAATTAATGAAGTTGCTTAAACAACTATAAACAAAACAGCATCATGTATGTATGCATACATGAACTTAATACAAAGGGCGGAAAGCCAGTCACACAGAGTACATTTTTCATTTAAAAACATGATCCAGTAGGATGGGAAAAAAACCCACCATAAAGTCTCGATATATGTTTTTTTCAAAGTTAAACTTGCATTAATTTTACATGGCTTTCTAAACATGCGGCTCTTTTGTGCGAGATCCGAGTGCAACGGTGATAGATGTCCCTCTAGAAAATGTGATAAATATGTGTTCTGTGTGAATGGCTTGGTTTCAGTTTTGATGTAAACAAGATCTTCTCCGCATTGATGTTCTCTTTTCCCGCAATATTTTTAATGAACAATGCAGCAGCGCCGCATCTAGTGGGTTCAACTGGATACGTTAGGCTAACAAAAACATTAAAATGCAATGACACTTACATTGTCATCGCATCTCGTGCGCCGCTGATAAGGCTGCCTCCTTAACGCACACCTAAAATTAAAATGCAATGTTTTTGCATTCGAATGTGGATTTTTATTTTAAATTCGACGAATATTTTAAATTCGAATTTTTTTTGACAGCCCTAGTTTGGTGTGCCTCCAGGAACAGGGTTGGGAAACGCAGTTTCGGGATACTGTTCACTGTTTGTGCTCCCATGCTTTCATTCCCATTAGTAGTCAAAACACGGCATTGCTGATCATTTGTATAGTTACATAAAAATGTGCTACATTGTTGGACACGCCTGCTTTGCACTGCCAACAGTCCCTCACGTTGCTAACTCTTACTGAAAAAGGATGACTTCCAGAAGCCACAAACCAGTCGGTTTGCATGCAGCTTTGAAATCTGTGATGTTGAAGGCCAAGGGTGTCCAGTCCTGCACCTGGAGGGCCACTTTCCTGCAGAGATTAGCTCCGACACACCTGCCTCTAGTGATCCTGACGACATTGGTGAGTTGGCTTGGGCAAGTTTAATTAGAGCTGGAGCTAAACTCGGCTGGAAGGTGGCCCTCCTGGGGCAGGACTGGACACCCCTGTTGTAGGCCATACATTTGTAGCATCAATCCTAATCCTTTTTGTCGCCCCACAGATGCGTGTGGTTTGATCCGCTGGATGTTGATGGTAAACCCAGTGCGTAGAGCTACTTTGGAAGAGATCGCGGGTCACTGGTGGCTCAACTGGGGCTATCAGTTCCCTCTACTGGCTCAGAGTGAACCTGCAGCTGCGGATGAGGAGCCAGGACATGCGGCCGCAGCGTGTCAAACCGGTGGCCCGACTCGTATTGTGGACTGGCTACGCCGCACCTCTCGTCCACTTCTGGAGAGCAGCTCTAAGATGCGCTGCCTGTTGCGGACAGGCGGGGCCACCGGAGGAGAACCAGTCCAGCGACAGCGCTCCATACGCAGGTCGCGCAAAGAAAACAACGTCTCGCAGAGCATGCAGGAAGCTCCTCGCCCATCTAAAGGAATTCTGAAGAAGCGGGGCAGCTTGAAACAGAAGGCGCCCAGTGAATCCCAGGCTACACCCTTGGAGGAGAAGAGCCAGAACGCTTTGGCGCCGTCTGTCCTTCCTCCACCTCCTAAAGGCATCCTGAAGAAGCCTTCGGAAGGCGAGTCAGGCTATTATTCCTCTTCTCCGGAGAGCTCCGGACAGACTCTTGGGAACCCAGAGCCACACCGCAAGGGCATCCTCAAACGGCACGGCAAGTTTTCCGGCGGCCTGCAGGAATTCAGCTCACTGGATCAGCTTGCACCCTCCTCACCCACGGTGGTCAACAGATCCCGACCGAGCGGCGCCATCAGCGAGGACAGCATCCTCTCCTCGGAGTCCTTCGACAGACTTGACCTACCTGACCGCGAGATTCCAGTCGCCCCAATGGAGCGACCAGCAGGTGGACGGAGGATGCGAGGATGCGTGTCCGCTGACAATCTCCTTGACTTGAGGGAAGGGTCTCGGTATCAGGGACACTGGGAAATGGACATGGCCTGCTACCGCGCAGAAGTGTCCGATAGCGTGTTTTCAATTTCTGACTGTGAAAACGTCACTCAGACTTACAAACAAGCCTTGGGAGCAACTGCTAGCTGAAACGCACAGGGACTGTGATGTTCAGAATCTGTCAGAGATGATGCAACTCCAGTTGTGCTTGGAAAAGGAACCTGGTTGGTAGCAAGGAACGTACTTGGAAATGTTCTGGAGCAATGCCATGGTTTAGAGCAGTGGTTCCCAATTCTAGTCCTGGAGAACCCCCAACACTGTCTCCCTATTCAAACACACCTGATTCAACTCATCAGCTCATTAGTGAAGACTCCAAGACCTCAAATGTGTGTGTCAGATAAGAGAGACACCAAAACCGTGCAGTGTTGGGGGTTCTCCAGGACCAGGATTGGGAACCACTGGTTTAGACGACCGGACGTCCTTAGCGGCAGACTCGTTTAGGACATTCATTTCATTCTGAGGAAACCGGAGTTTGTGTTGCATTTGCAACATGCAAAATGGTAGACTTGGTTTGAGAAAAGTGCCTTTTATTTCGTCAGCTGCCTTGCTCCCAATGATGAACAACTGATTAGTTATTCTTTGAAATGTTTGTGGTTTTTAAATGATTGTTTAGGGAGTTGGCTAGTCAAAAAATACCAAAGATGACTCATTATAAAGTTGTGAATTTAGTTCGTTTTAAAGGTGAATATTGGTGCTGCGGATACAATAAACTACTGTCTGTTTATGACTTTATGTAGTCCAGACTTTAGCTTTGCATCTGTTTCAGGGTAAGAACATTTGAATGGTAAGAACGACTTCCACGTCGCTGTTTATTAGGATGGTAAAATACACTGTGACCTTTAAAAGCAAACTAAAAGTTCTCCTCAAATTGAGAAATATGTTGAAATGGTGCGATTTACTGTTTTTGCCATCCGGATGTTAAAAACTGTGTGCTTAATACTATTTAAGAAGGGGAAGGAATGGTATTTGAGTGTCATAGCGGGGTGTTTGGGCTTCATCAGTAAATCTAACCTCTTCATACAGTATTTCAGTCTGTAGGGCTGCTCGGGAGTTTCATGGCTTGAGATAACCCGGGTAATTAGGTGTTTTTCTTCTGTTTGGTGTCATATTTTGTTCGAGTTCATGCATGTTTATTTGCCAAAGTGCCTGATATATCTGTCCTGATGTCTCTTTGAATCAGTGGACCAATAAAACAGCACAAATGAAGTGGAAAATGCTCTCTGGCTGTCGGCTCTTCTGTACCCATCATAATCTTCTGGATAACCATTAATGACATTTACACTCGATAGTATGTGAGAACCGTGTTGCAGCTTTTTTACTCATGAATTTGAAAGTAATTAAGGCAAACAGTATGCAACAAATGCGTTGTGCTGTTTTGAAGTGGAAGTATGACCCGAAGTTACTAAACCCAAATATTTGATTAATTTTGGAGCAACTGTAGATGTTCTAATTGATAATAATACAAATGTTATGAGGATAATTTTTAATCAATGTTCATAACTTAAATTAAAAATAATTATTGATCACTAAATTCATTAAAATAAAAATTAATTTAAATAAATTATTAAATACATTTCTAAGTTCTATTCAGTTCAATTATTAATCAAATCGAACCAAATGAGTTTTTCTCCCTGTTCAGAGACTGTAATTAATTTAGTCTTTTAAGTTTAATTACATATTTTTTAATTATATATGGGTTTTTTTTCTTAAGGTGAAGTTCATAAATTCAAATTTAAATGAATTACTAATCAATCAATAAAAATAAATACACAAAACCAATTTTAAATAAATTGCTAAATTATTTCAAATTTTAATTAAGTACGTATTGAGTCACAGTTGTGTTCACTTACACTAATGTGATTAAATGAGGCTTTGATTCCTGTCTCGGTTCTCATTTTTAATCACTTTATTTTGTGAATAATAATGTACTTATAGAAAAGTGCAGATAAACTGAATAACCGATGTAGTTTATTGCAGATTCTCAGTTCAGGCTGAGTAAAGTGTGTCTGTGTTAGCAACAGTAACTAAGCGTGCGGTGCTCGTTTCAGCAGCACAATGCAGATGTGAGGCTTCAGGGCGGCAGACGCTGATATCCAGTGATTTAGTGCTGAAACCGGAGCGCAGACGAACAAAAGCACGCCTGACCCGCCCTGACGTCCAGCACACAAAGAGCAGATCAGAGAGCTGCTGACGGCAGCGAGAGCTCAGAGCCATGCAGGAGTGTGTGTGTGTGTGTGTGTGTGTGTGTCTGACCTCAGAGCCACATTATACAGCATCATTACTCATATTCATAATACAATTACACGTGTCAATAAATAATAAAATGCATTAATAATAATTATAATAAGCTGAATTAATTTTTTTTAAATAAAAGAAATTAAAAAGTAATAAATAAATAGTATTAAATAAATCAATAAATTATTAATATTATTAAAAATGTAAATAAATAATAAAATGCATTAATAATAATTATAATAAGCAGAATGAATTTTTAAGAAATAAAAATAAATTAAAAATTAATAATTAAATAATAAAGCCAGGGTCATTATAAATTAATAAGCAGATTTGTTTAAAAATCAGCCGAGCAATATTTTAGTTAACAAAAACTAAAAGCATAAAAAAAGCATTTTCTTCACTTGAAATAAAGTAAACATTAACAGAAAAAAATACAAAATTACAACAACTTTAAAATTAAAACGAAAACAAAATATAAAAAAATAAAATCTAATGCAAAATATTAACAAAACTATAGAATATTAAAATAACACTGATTACTATTGATGAGCAACATTGAAACTCACTGCATTAATATAAATATTATTTATATACTGTTATACTATTTATTAATATTTTGAATTAGCTTTTATTTGAATATTTTTATTTTCATTTAGTAATGCGCTTTTCTCATTTTTAAGTTTTTCACTTTTTATATTTATAAAAAATTATTTAAAAATTTTAAAGCCTAAAATTTATATTTTAGGCTTTAAGAATTAAAGATAATGATTTTTAATGTTTTAGTTTCAATTAATAACAACAACACTGCTTCAAATGCACAATAGGTTTAATGTTTTTTATATTTAAATTTAGCATTATTTTATTTTAGTGTTTTCTAGGTTTTTATATATTGTTTATATATTTTTATATTTTATAGGTTTTTGTTTATATATTTCTATATAGCTTTATTTTATTTTTTATTTCCATTTTAGTTTTAGTAATTTTAATACTTCAACAAACTTATTTTATTTCATTTTTTTAATTTACATTTTAGTATTTAATCTAATATTTATATTTCCTTCAAATGTAGGTCATCCAATCAGAATATAAAAGTTGAAAATATCAAGCTAGAGGCGCAATAGGGCTGCTTACTAGAACTAGAGGATTGTCAAAGTGTGCCTGTATGCTAGCTTTTGGGGCTAATATTACCCACAATGCCTTGAATAATGAAATAATTTTACAACTGTTTAAAATAAACATGAAAGAAGTTCAGAGTTGCCACAGCAGTTTTCCCAAACCTAAAAGCAACCTGAGGAAAAGCGGGTCACATGACGTTACCAGGATCTCTGGGACGGTATCAGTGTGATACCGTTAAGAAAAAAAATACCGTTAAGATGGAGCGGCATTTACTACACAGAGCCGTAGTTCACTGACAAGCTACAAAAAAATCGCGTTCAAAATCGGCAATGAATCGCCTGCGATTAATATCTCCATACTCAAATCCCAGATGGCCAGACAGTGATTCAGCTAAAATATTAGTGTCTGAGACACTGTGAGCACGGAGACTTTTTTCCCCAGTGTATTGACTTGCACGGGTTAATTGTTCACCACAACACTAGTAATGTGCACTAAAAAGTAAGTAGGGTCATTTTTGATTTCATGACGACTAATCATTTTTAATACCATTGGCAAAACTACCACAAACTGTATAGCATACTGCCATATAGATATTTTAATATTTAAAAAAAAAAATTGTACATCCATTTTTTTCAAGGCAATCATTATTTCAAGTTTTGAAATTTGTTTAATCCAAGTCTTCTAAAAAGACACATTCTCTTTATATGATGAACAGATTTTAATATAGGCTTTTATTTACATACATATAAAAATTGATCAATTACCATAACAAAAATCTCAATCTTAAACATTTACTCATTCTGTGTATTTGTGTCTTTAAAATAGGGTAACTTTGTTGCAAAAGCTTACAGCACAAGGAAGCTTGATTTCAAATTTGATTTCAAACTGAATTGAATTTCAAAAAAAGACAAGTACATATTCAGTAATAAAATTATAAAACAAATGACCTCAATTCTGTTGAGGTATCCGAAGTATGACAATACTGAATTTTTATAAGCAGTGATTTAAAGGGTTAGTTCACCCAAAAATGAAAATTAGTCTTTATTTTTTTAAATTACGGTTGGATATCTTTATTGGCTACTGAAGTGCCGTCAAAGGTTTGAATATAATTCAAATTGTGGGCGTACTCAGTAACGAACTATGATTTAAAAGTAACGAAGTAGATTATTTTGCTCAATTTGTACTTAAGTACAAGTAAAAGTACAGCTTTAAAAATATACTAAAAAAAGTACAAGTACCCGAAAAAACTACAGTAACGTGAGTAGTTGTAATTCGTTACCTTCACCACTGATTAATACAAGTTCCCAGTCTTATGAATTCAACCAAGAAAAAAATACTGTTTTTACAATTGCTTGCTAAATTATGAAAACCCTTTTCCGCCATAGAATAAAAAAAAATGTTTATATACAGTGGGTACGGAAAGTATTCAGACCCCCTTAAATTTTTAGCAAATGGCTGCAATATAACAAAGAGTGAAAAATTTAAGGGGGTCTGAATACTTTCCGTACCCACTGTATATATATATATATATATATATATATATATTTGCGACTTCTCACAATTCTGACTTGTTTTCTTGCGATTCTGAGTTTATATATGACTTTATAATCAAAATTGCAAGATATAAGAACTCGCAATTCTGCGGAAAAAGTCAGAATTGTCATATATAAACTCACAATTGGAAGAAACTTGTGAGATAAAATGTTTTTTACAATTACCTTTATTTTTTTATTCCGTACTTGGAAAAATAAACAATTGTGGAATGTAAACTCTGAACTGTAAGAAAATAAGTCATAATTCCGAGACATAAAACTTGGAATTCTGAAAAAGAAAATCTCTCTAATTTGTGTTTATGTTTAGCAATTATGACTTTTTTCTCAGAATTGCGAGAAAATCCGAAATGTGAGATTTATTTTTCTAAGGCAAAAACCAAAAAAACAGCATTGTGAGACAAAATCACATCAGATGTAAAAGACATTATTTTCGTCATCTTTAAGAAAAATTGTTTCTTTCCCCATCTAATCAATTCTTCATTAATAAAACCAAGATTATATAAATTTTTCTCATTAAATATCCCATTTCACTCATCATGGAAGTCAAATTAATTGAAAACAGCAACATTTCATGCCGAGGTTTAAAGGGGTCATATGATGCGATTCCAATTGTTCCTTTCTCTTTGGAGTGTTACAAGCTCTTGAGGGGCGTAACATTTCCGTCACACGCTTGAGGTATTCGGCCAATCACAACGCACTGGATAGCTGGCCAATCACAGCACACCTCGCTTTTCAGACCGATGAGCTTTGTAAAAATCGACCGTTTCAGAAGGCGGGGCATAGAGGAGAAACAATAATGTACAGTATGTGGAAAATAATGTGTTTTTTGAACCTTAAACTGCATAAACACATTTCATTACACCAAATACACAAAATAATGTTATTTTTAGCAACATCATATGACCGCTTTAAATCCACACGAGCGCTTGAATAAAACCAAACCGTTCTGAACTTTATACAACATGATTTTATTACCTCGTAACTCAAGTTTTAACCAACTTTAGTCCAAAAATATGAACATTGCATTACTGCAAAAACTGTGAAATACACTGCAACACAAACTGATGGCGTTCTGATGAGAGTCCGCGGCTCAGTGGAAGCTCATGGCAGGCGTAGCGTCCTCCAGGTCGCGTGACTCAGCGCTCTGCAGCTCGCGCTGGATCTCGGACGACATCTGCGCATGCGTCTGGCACTTCAGCAGCTCCAGCAGTGCCTCCTTCTGTTCGGAGGACAGGTCAGCTTTGTAGCGCTGCACTAGCGTCAGCAGGCTCTGGTGCCACAGCACTGGCAGCATCCGTCTGTCCGCGCGGAACAACAGGAAGTGTGCGATCAGAGCGTCCAGCACGCGGAAGGGCAGCGCGTACTTCTTATCCAGCAGCAGCCGCAGGAAAATACTGTTGGCTCCGTTGTACTCCATCTCTGCAATTTTCAGCATGGCGGCGCTGCAACGTATAACGGCGGATTAGTAGCACGCAAAAACTACAATTACGAGAATAAAGTCGTATCATCGTGAGATTGAAGTCGTAATATTTTGTGGATAAAGTCAAAACTTTAATCTCAAAATATTACGTCTATAATCTCAAAATATTACAAATTTAATCTCTCAAAATTACTTTTCTCGCAATTTTGACTTTATTCTCAAAATATTCCAAATTTAATCTCATGTAAGACAATTCTCTCATTGCTATGACTTTATTTCCGTAATTTTTAATTTATGCTCTAAATTAATTATAAATTTAATCTCATAGGAATTTATTCTCATATTAATCCGACTTTTTCTCATAATTTTTAATTTATTAAAATATTTTTATAATTTCACAATTCTGTAATTTTAAATTTATTCTCGAAATATTACAACTTTAGTCTTGTTTTCCTACGACTTTGTTATGGTAATTAAAATATTACGACTTTAATCTCAAACTATTACAATTTTAATTTCATATAAGACTTTTTTCTCATATTCTCAACTTTTTCTCATAATTTTGACTTTATTCTCAAGATATACATTTTATCTTATAAGACTTTATTCTCGTAATTTTTACTTCATTATGAAAATATCACAAGTTTAATCTTGTATAAGACTTTATTCTCATCCTAGACTTTTTCAACATCATTTTTAATTTATTAAAATATTTTTATAATTTCACAATTCTATGACAGGTTTAGTGTT